ACGGGAATTGGTAAAATTTATCAAGTGAAAAATTATTCTTATGATTATAATAATCATTAGTATTAACTGTTAAGTTATAATAATATATACTTATAGTGCATGACGAACTTTATTGTGATTGGAAGATCATCTTATCATAATGAAGTCTTATTAAAGTACCGATTTTCTGTTACAAGATTGATTTCTCTATAAACTGCCAAAGTAATTCGTAATCCGCGAAGTAATCTGAAGTTAGATAAGAGGTATGTTTGAACGTTTAACTTATATAGGTACAATAAATCAATTAAACTCGACAATTTAAGCTGTTTTTTACGTATTTTGTGAAAACTTATTCTTCTTCGTAATCCCAACTAATATATAAACCTAACTATTATATAGGCTAAGATTATGAGGTTGAGAATCATAAGGTCTATAGATTCCGTGAGAAGAGTTAAAGCGAAGTAGTGGTACTGTAACTGTTATAACGATTATTAAATAATAAAATCAATTTGATATTGGAGCGAACATTAAAAGTTGGTTTTGATTTTTTTTTTTTTAGCCATTAGTGATCTAAAATAGGTTCAAACATTATTTCTTGTATTTTTTGTTTTTGGTTGTTTTTGAGTCATTGTTTTGTTTTTCATTTTTTAATTTATAGTATGTGTTGTGTCAAAAATCGCTTATAACTCAAAATCTGCCTAGGAAACCACCTTTCATGCTGTTACTGGCAAAACCACGTGCAAGAAGAATCTGAGAATTATGCAGAATTCTGCACGATGGAAGCACGAAATCATTATGCTAGCGCCGTTGTACTGCAGTGCCCCGGGACCCGAAATTCCACCACGACGATCATATGCAAGAAACCTGCTCAAGCCAAGTCCTACATAATGAAGCATCGAAATAACGATCGTATGAAAGCAAAGCCCCATCAACGATCCCATTGAAGCAAGAGACACTTACCCGATTCGGTTGACAGCTGTCAAGGTAATATTACCTTGTTGGGTAAGGTGTGTGGCCGTGAAAGTAAGAAGCATATGGGTTGCTTGAAGAGTCGATGAATGAATCAATGGACTTGACGGGTAAAGAACGATGACGGCGTAGAAGCCTTCATTCGACTTGCCTTCTAATTGCCTTCTTTCGTCTATACCATCGAATCTCAATGAAAATGGCTGTGAGTAAGGGTTGGGAATTGACTAGAAAAGGGTTAAATGGCTTGGTTCAATGACGGTTCAATGACAAGTGATGGGAAAAACGTTCGATATTGATCTTTTCCTTGCCTTGTAAATTTGTTATAAATAAGAGGTAAAATTCCTCTTGTCCAAGAGAGAATCATTCTAGTGTGTATAATTCATTCTACATTCAATAAAATCGTTAAATAAAACCTTCCAGTAAATTCTAGTTACAACGTTCTTTAAAAATTATACCAAATTACTTACCTAACGAAACTTAGTAAACACCTTAGACCTGTGCCAAGTTGTTATCCGCCTCACCTCTCTACTAAGTGCCGTTATCCGTAGTCTGCCCTATTTTATCCAGAGACTGACTGTTGTTTTCTTTTGTTTGTGGGTGTGTATGTTGGTCACTTATCCGCTAACATTTTTGGTGGTGACTGTGAGATAGAATGTCTCCGACCTGAAGCCCAAGACTGTGAGATCGAGCACCTGTTGGAAGCTCCAAGCAGCTGGACTGTGATATTCGATAATCCGATCGTGAGGAATGAATTAAGTACTGTGATGACCACCCCCGATGTTTCTTTTAAGATTTTTTTTTTTTTTTTTGAATTAAGTTTTTAGTGTATTAGAGTTTTTGTTAAAGACCGACGAACTGAGTCCGCCAGTATTTCTCTTGTTTTTTTCTTTTCTCATCATGATATACCGTTGTATAGTATCTTACTCTTAGTCTAAAGTGTCACCAAGTTTTTTTTTTAAAAAAAAAAAAAAAAAAAAAAAAAAAAAAAAAATGTATGAAATATACCAGCTAGCCACGTTTAACCAATGACTATTTGAAGCCCAAATGATAGTGACCCAATGTTGTTAAGTATCAAGGAACTGCCCAAACAATGAACAAAGCCAGAAAAGCCACCAACCAGCAATATGATGCTCCTATTGCGGCATAAGAAGACACCCGTTAGTACGTGTCCAGAAATAAGGAGAATGCAGTTAAAATGTATAGAGTTGCTCACCGCACTTACCGAAGAACAAACTGCAGAAGTCTGAGAAATAATCAACGAAACCATCAGCAACTGTAGCTTTTATGATCTGCAAGCCCTGGAATTATTTTTAGAGGTATTAGAGCATGTTAGCATCCTGAATGATAAAAAAAAAAAAGAAAAGATTATATACCTGCCCCCATGTATCTACCTGGCCCCAACGATGAAGAGGAAAAGCCCGCCCATTGTGCCTCTAGTAGTCCCAAGTCTGAAAGTGCCCCCAACACAGCCCTGGCACAAGGAAGAACCCAAACCCGCCAACCGTAGATATTGTTATAAAAATGGGATTGGCATTGAAAAGAATGAGAGAATTACAGTTAAAAAGGATGAACCTAAGGAGTTCACTTTTTATCAAAAACCAGCAGAAATAGGACATGCCAATGGAAAAGACAACCTTGGTTATTGTCACCAAAATGGAATTGATGCTAAAAAAAATAAAACAGACCCACCAACCAATGGAATTGGAGTCAAACTGGATGAACCTAAAACATTCGATGGCTCCAAAGAATTTGCTGGTGCGGATTGACCAAACAAAGGAAATATTGATCTAGAGCCTCTCTTCCAAGAGTTTGCTGCTAAATGCGACGCCATCATACAGAAATGGGCCCCGAAGAAAAATGGCGTTAAAAAGGATAAAGTGTGGTGTTTGAAGCCTGCTGAAGGTGAAAAGCTGGGTGGAATTGAAGTCAAAAAGGACAAAAATGATGGAATTAGAGTTGAAAAGAGCCAACCCAAGGCCCCCACCTACCAAGAATCAGCGGAAATGGGTCAAAAAGATAGTGACCAAGAGCCGAATATCTTCAGTGATCATCTCTGCGACAAATTGAATCTGTACAAAAATCCTTAGCACGATCACGAAAGTCCGGTAGTGCATGCCCCGATGCTAAGGATTGTTTTGTCGACATTGACCTTGAACCTTGCTACCATAACGGAATTGGTATCGAAAAGAATGAACATGATGCATTCGTTTATTACCAAAAGTCCGCAGATATGGGTGATGCCGATGGAACATGTCTGGTTGAACCCAGCTACGAGAAAGAAATTGAAAAGATTGAAGTAGATGCCATTAGTAAGTCAGACCAAATGAATGGAACCAGAAAAAGGGAGAAGAAATACAAACCTCATCCATAAAGCTTAAATATGTCGACGATGATGAAACCGATGACGAAAGTGACTGCGAAACGTTGGTTGGTGATGACGATAATCATGAGAAATTAAATATTGCTCTACCTGAAAGACCCCTGGAAAAAGAAGTTCTGCAACGAGCATGTGAAGAATAGATAGAAAAAGTTAACGAATTTCGGATGATCACGTGTGCAGTAAAAAGGCCAACTGAAATAAAAACTATCGAAGGACCGTTTCAAGAAATTGGTGCCAAAACAGATGAATCATGTGAACGGTATTGGAAAGACGCTGAAGATTACAAATTAGATAGACAGTTCGACTCTGGTGGACCTTGTTACCAGAATGAGCGCCGTCTTGAAAATGAGAGTTTTCCCCCTAAACAATTCCGTGGTTATAATGCTTCTTCCAGTTAAGTTATATGAAGATCTGCTGAAATGGGTATAAAACGAAAGAAACCACCACTGGATGAATACGTCGTAGAAATCAAAATTCAGAGAAGCCTGCTTGATAAAAATAGAAAAGGAATAGAGTTAGTAACAGCAAACAAAACCTGGTTTATAACAGTAAACACCAAGAAGACTCCTTTACACCCGTCGTTATGGAACGTCGTACAGATATTCAATCCTGGAGGAACCTAAGGAGACGATACAGCTGATTAGTAAGATGAAGAATATATAAAAAAAAAAAATTTAATTAAATTACCTTGGATCGTATGTGGTCACGCACGACAGTTATACACGGGGTTAAGGGGCGTATGACAAGGGTTTGACCCTTCGTTTTGAACGTGGACGTGTTTTTGTGTGTTGGAGATTTTTTCTTTGTTTAAGTTTTTTTGTGACTTTTTGCTGTTTGAGTTTTTTGTGTGTCTAGTTTTTAGTTTTAGTTTTTTAGTTTTAGTATTCATTTTTTCTATTTAGTGTTAGTATATAGACTTTAGTTAAAAAAAAAAAAAAAAAATTATTATTATTATCCGTATTACTGCGTAAAAAAAGCTATGCGATCCGGTGACCCCGAAAACCAATGTATTAGATTTTTCATGGGACGTAAAAAATTAAGGTGAGGAGAATTGTTACTGGCAAAACCATGTGCAAGAAGAATCTGAGAATCATGCAGAATTCTGCATGATAGAAGCACGAAATCGTTATGCCAGCGCCGTTATACTGCAGTGCCCCAGGACCTGAAATTCCACCACAATGATCATATACAAGAAACCTGCTCAAGCCAAGTCCTACATAATGAAGCATCGAAATAATGATCGTATGAAAGCAAAGCCCCATCAACGATCCTATTGAAGCAAGAGACACTTACCCGATTCGGTTGACAGCTGTCAAGGTAATATTACCTTGTTGGGTAAGGTGTGTGGC